TTTTTTTTTTTTTGCTAGGCTCACTACGGAGAGCCCCTGGTCGGCAATAAGAATGTTCGTAATCCGATTGGCTGTAGCCCTGCTTATGAGTAACCCGAACACTGGATCACCCGGCCGAATTGGGAGAAGGAACGGAGAAACGGACGAAAAGGACGGAGCTGTGGTAATACGACCCTTGCCCTCAATTGACGAAAGTACACTCTACCTGTTTAGCACTCTAAATCGAATGTTATGGATCCTAGCGTCAACAACAGAGACATGGTCGACTCCTTGCAGGGATACAGGTCACGAAAGAGAATGAGAAAGGGAACGAGAAGCTGTACGGAATGTATGTTCTTCTCAACTGGGTCGTACACACGGTCTTCCACACGGCTTCATCATCATTGTCTCGCGACCACCCGTTGCCAGCTTGATCCGCTCACCCAATCCCAGGCTTTGGGTTTCGCTGACTGCGCGCAGGCAGACGCCGGAAAACTCGCTGTACGTTCGATTCCAACCGCCCAGGAACATGCCGAGAATGCGGATTAAGAGGCACAACCTGCCTCGAGCAAGAGCAGGACAGTCGTCGTGAGGACCAGCAGCCGTATAGCTTGCGTGAGCGCGTTGTGGAACTCGAGACCGTTGTTCAAACGCTGCTCCGGAGGCTGGATGCCATCGATGGCGGCAGTTATGTGGCCAGCACCGTCTTATACCAGCCAGCGGCGAATGTAAAAGGTGCACCACAATTCCTTCTTTCCTTCACCTTAATCCATGGGTTGTTAAGGCATCGTTTAGAGCGCTAATACATGTCCTTTATCTGCCCCCTATTTGCAGAACCACTTTCGACATGCCTTCCAGGGTTCGATTGGCCTGACAAGCTCGTAGAGTCCCGGCCAACAAACGGCGTGAATCTAATAGCGCAACCTACTGTGACTGACGGCGTCGAGTTAAATCCTGTCAATGAGCAGATGGTGACGGCCCCCGTGTTGCGCCTGTTTGATAATGACGTGGTCAGTCGTAGAGGGTGTCAGTCTTCGGATTCCCTGGCTTCCTCACCGCATACTGCCTCCGCCTCCAGAGCGAAAGCCGCGCGAACTGCGTTGCTGTCGCTGCTGCCGCCCCACAATGATATTACTAGGCTCGTCGAGTCTTCCTTAATGTGGTGGTCCGCGTGGCAGGCCGAATTCCCGGAGATATGTCGCCGTTGCCGAGTTGACGTGACACTAGGACAGAGCCTCTGTGATAACCCCATGTCTCCCGCAGATGCTGCTAAGGCGTTGCTATGCCTGGTCCTTAGCGTCGAACAACTCCCCGGAGACTATGACTATGCGTGCTTATCAGTGCCTTTCACGCCACAGGAATGGATAAACCGTAGTATCGATGCTGTCGTAAGATTCGTCATCTATGACGACGAGTTTGCGTCTACCCTGACCGGCATTGAAAGTCACATCCTGCTCTCCAAATACTACATCAACCAAGGCCGCCTGCGCAAGGCGTGGTTGACTGCTCGACGAGGGATTGAATTCGCCCAGCTGACCGGAGTCCACTGGTGCACGACCAAGCCGCCTCTTCTTCCAACCCCGTTATTTGACCGGAGACTTCAGATCTGGTGCGCTGCGGCTACGGTAGACCGGTTCCTCAGCCTGATCCTAGGACTGCCCTATGCGGTGCCCGATGCATTCCTTTTGCCGCAAGTCACGGCCTGTCTTCAGCGTGAGAGTAGCCCTCCGGCTTACACGTACATGGCACGTCTGGCCTTGGTCCTTGGCAAGATCGTTGACCGAGACCAGAGTTCCTCGGAGCAGTCTATATCTAGAACCCTCTTGTTGGATGAGGAGCTGGCGGATATGATCAAGTGCATCCCAGAACACTGGTGGCGCACATCTGGTCAAGATAATCGCAAGATGGCGGGAAAATGCTATGAGACTGCCATCCTCCGATTCCTTCATCAGGTCATCCGAGCCTTTGCGCACCTTCCATATCTCCTAAAACATACAGCCGACCCAAAATCCCAATGCTGCCGTTTGACCGCGTTGGAGTCGGCTCGGAAAAGCCTGCTGGCTTATCGGGAGTTCCGTGCAACGAACAGACCCTATCTTTATCGGCTTATGGACTTCCTCGCATTTACCATGGCTATGTTGCTGGTCATTCATTCAGTCGGCTATTCGGGGATGCCGTCTCTTCAGCCGCGGGAACAAGATAGTCAGGACATTGACCTGGTCAGAGAGGCTGCGGAAATCTTCGCCAAAGTCGGCACAAACAACGGGGGCACGGCCGCATTAGAGTCTAGCAAAATCATTCAGGGCATTCTCGGTCATTGGGCTGCTGGTAGCGGCTCACATCCTCGTCGCTGTGAGACGTTGAAAATTTGCCTTCCCTACTTTGGTGCGATCACTATCTGTCCGGGAAAGGTCCTGGCCGAGCAGTTGCGACGCAAACCTCGAGTCCCTGAGCCGTTTTACCGATGTCAAAAGCAGCAGCCTCCTCTCTGTCCATTGCTGGCTGCAGCCGATGGACGAAACGGAGACAAGCAACGTAATCTTGTGGGTCAAACGTCCACGGATCCTCAATCAGAATATCTGAATAGCCCGCAATTTCGACTGGAGGACGCCCCCTCCTTTTCAGACGCTGGATGGGAGCTGAGTGGGTTCTTTGATGATTTCGGGTACGGGCTTTGGTCAGGTCTGGATATCAACCACGGCCTTGACCAAGGTTGGTGACTGGACAGGTCCTAGAATGTCTGGTATGACGTACCTGTATGGGAGGATACCAGTATGTAAAATACGCTGGATTAGTTTTTGGCATTATTGCCATTTTGATATAGGAGCCGATGACGAAGGTTCCGGAAACTTCTTATCCAAATGGCTTAGCGTGATATAAATTAGGTCTGCAGGCAGGCAGCTTGCAAGAGCAAACATCATCTTTGCCATTTTTGCAGCCAGCCGTAAACAAAAGCGTGACCACTTTATTTATACCTGAGCGATAAATCTTTAAAGTCTGAATACAGGGCGAATATATAGTACTCTTGACTGGTAGTAAAGAGAGTGACGTAGCAGATAAAGAATATAAGAAAAATGTATTATGAACCCTGCAAGTTCATTCTATAATTATAATTTACATAAAAAATATATAGTAGCTGTTTAAATGTCCTAACATCAAACTCATGACCCAATGTGAGCTGAATGAAGCTTCTCCCATCTCCCTCAGCACCTGTGCTGTGAGGGCAAGGCTATGAGAAAGGAGCACTGGTTCTGGGACCTCGCAGGCATCAGTACTGTCTAGGACCCCACTTAGGTTTAAAAATTCAAATGCTATGCACTCTTAGGGCAGGTAGGATGAGTATCTTCTTTAAAACCACGTCCAATCTGCGCTCATTGCTTTGACTACCGCACCGCTTAAGTCTCCGTTTGGCTAGAACTTTGCCTACCTGGTCCCAAAACTGAATATTTGCTTCCGCTCCATTATATGATTCTTTTGTTCTTGCCAAATCATAAGACACGATCGAGCAAAACCAAACGCTCCGGCCCAATAGTCCCATCACACCAACCTTTCCAGACGGTCCAGGTCCACTAGGAGTCGATCTTGAGGATACTATCGTCACTGAGCTTTCCCACTAATCGCGTTTTGCGGTCTTCAATTGCGAGAGAGTCCAAGGCCCCATCAGTGCTAACAAGCATTATGGTGCCACCCATCTTGGAGGACTTGAGCGCCGCTGCACTGCGCCTGGACGAGTCTACGTGGTCGTTGCTGAACTACCGAAGTTTATAAAGGAAGCGCAGGTGATCGTTTCTGTAAGAAGCTTTCAATCACGTCGAGAGAGAAAGCCAGATAAGTGGTACAGCTGGTGATGGTGCTGGTATTCATGCCCTGACCCCGCGCCTTCAGTTGATTATAAACCACAACCCACTAGACTGGGTACGGATCCGTATTTTGGTCTAGTGGCAAATTCAACTCCTTCGGCGATATGCAGGATATTCACTAAGGCTATCTCTATCTATGTTTAATTACAGTGAACCATACATCCCGACGAATTTAGAGCCTCGTCTTGACCTATGGTGGCCTAGGTGCCTGATGTTCTCTTCTGCGGCCTCTTTGGCGCGCGGCTTCGAAACCCCTCAGATGCCTCTGCAAGTCCAGTACAGCACCTAGGATGCTACCGTCCTGCGCAGCCTCATTTAACCTACCTTCCGTACCATGCAGTTCCCCTCTCAGCATATCTGAGACATTGTTGAATGCACTTCCGATCTTCCTTCATAGTATGTTCCGCAAGTCTTTCAACTTCAGGCAGTCCACTAGCACGTGGACTACTGTTTCTTTAGCTCCACATTCGCACTTGTCGTTCTCCTGGAACTGATACCGCTTGCCATGCATCGCCAGCCACGAGTGGCCGGTTCAGAGTTATGAGAGTAAGTAGAGTCGACTTCGCGGTAGCGATCCATACATCCGCCGCATGTGGATCGACGGTAGAGTCGCGTCAATCTGGCGGAGGTGGGCCCCCTTTCTTAGAGGCTTTCCATTCTTGTTCCCATTCTTCCCGGATTTTCCGGCAGATGTATCCTTTCTCCCGTGAGAGAAGGTGCTGGAAATGGTGCGTCTTTTCAGAGCAACTGCTTCTTTAGCTAGGCGGTCTGCTGTGTCATTTCCCAGATCATCACAGTGGCCCATGACCCATTGGAGACGGAGGGGAACCCCATGCGTGTTCAACTCCCTGGATGATGCGCTGCCCCGATTTATTCCATGAATCTGCTATTGCTTATAGCGCCGACATGCTGTCCGTCAGGATAGCTGCCGGCTCGCGGCTGGTGCCTAGGACCTTTTGCTTCTTCCGTGAGATTTCATAGATAGCATAGTACATTGCCATGTGCTCTGCAGCGTACACTGACCAACATTCCATTGAACCAACGCAGATCTGCCGGGACGGAATAATGTCTCGTCTAGGGTCGTGGCTACCGCTACGGCCCCAGATGGCGCTGTTGGCCTGATGCATCGGAGAACAAAAGAGGTACAGCTGATCGCAGAACCGGTGCAAATGTTAATACTCTTGTCTTCTTTCCGAAGCCCCATGACTCAGCCCTGTTCGGAAGGCTGTCGAAACAGATATAACCCCCGTATTTGCTAGGGAGACGAAACGAGGAAATAAATATTGTCGTACGGACGCCGTGTACAGCCGCATAGGGGATACCTGGTGGGTAGTTGGAAAGCCTAGAACTTCTAGGCTATTATTGGGCCCAAATTCTTGACACGGAAATGAGTGATTGGTTAGCTCGGCGCCTAAAAATGCTCTCTAAGTCATAACCTCGCTCCTGGCGCCTAACCAACCCCTCTTCATCTTTCGCCGGAAACAACCTGAACTACAACAACATTCACAATACCACCGCCAATATACGAAACCTTTGCAGAAACAAGCGTTAATACTGTTTATTCTTTGACATGGATGGAATTTCATCCACAGCGAGCGTTATTGCGATCATCCAACTTGCTGGGAGCCTTGTGACAATATGCGGAGGCTACATCCAAAAGGTGAAGCATGCAAGAGAAGACATTATCACCTTACGATGGGCGGCCCAAAGCCTCCAAGTGACCCTTCAAGACCTTCTTGGACTCCTTGGAGATTCCAACAAAACAAGACTTCCTACCTCCCTGCGACTCGCCAGTGACATCACCAATTGCCTCTCAGATCTTCGAGCCCTGAACGAAAAGCTTGAGTCAAATGTGGGGAAGAGATCAATGAAGAAATTCGGATTCCGCGCCTGGAGATGGCCCTTGGAACGCGCAGAGGTCGACAGTGAAGTTCAGAAGTTTGAAAGATATAAATCCTCCTTTCTCTTGTCTTTACAGGTGGATCAAACGTAGGGGTCTTAAATACTAGGATGCTGTATAACAGACTAAAGTAAGGCAGTTCTCTCATCACTGGCGTTGCCCAAAACACAAACGTTATCAATCAAAATATGAATTTCGCAAAGTTGGAAAGTGCGGCCGAGGCAAGTTTTGATTCATTCTCTAATCGAGATGAAGTCCTGTGTCTTCAAGGCACCAGAGTTGAGATTCTCCACCAAATAATGGGATGGGCTATGTCACCATGTCAGAAGACAGTGTTCTGGTTAAACGGGATGGCTGGAACAGGAAAATCCACAATATCACGGACGGTGGCAAGGTCGCTAAAGGATACCAACCATTTAGGGGGCAGCTTTTTTTTCAGGAGGGGCAAAGAGGACACAGGGAATGCCAAGAAGCTTTTCCCCACGCTAATAAGTCAATTGATGCTCAGGTCTTCTGAGCTAAGCTCTGGCGTGCAAAAGTCACTCCGTGATGATCCTGAAATCGCTTCAAAGTCGCTCGGAGAGCAATTTGACAAGCTTCTCCTTCAACCGCTGCTCGAGCTTGACCAACTCGGTCAGGGACCTCAAACCGCTGTGATTGTGATCGACGCTTTAGACGAATGTGACCACGATCAAGACATACGAAATATTATCCGACTGCTGCCTCTTCTAAAGAGGGCAAACACATTGCGCCTCCGGGTATTATTGACCAGCAGACCGGAACTTCCGATTCGCCTTGGCTTCTCAGGGATCGAGAATGATGACTATGAGCAGCTAGCTCTCCATGAGATCTCCGAGAAAGTAACAGAACGTGATATATATCTCTTCTTTAAAGACAGACTCATAAGGATCAAACACGACAGAAACATTACGCGAGATTGGCCCGGCGAGGATGTAATCCAAAAATTGGTTACAATGTCGGTTCCACTCTTTATCTCGGCCGCTACTGTATGTCGATTCATCGAAAATTCAAGATGGGAACCCGCATCACGGCTCGCAGAGCTCCTTGAAGACCAAGCCAAATATGCAACGAAAATGGAGAAGACGTACTTGCCAATTCTTACGCGGCTCCTTGATGACCAAGATAGTGATGACTTAGAACAGCAGCAGCTCTTGCATGAGTTCCAGGAAATTGTTGGACTCATCACACTGCTTGCTGTTCCACTTTCGATCAATGCGCTGTCGCTATTGCTGGGAATCCAGGCAGACCAGATCAGCAACCGATTAGATTCTTTCCGGTCTGTGCTCAGTGTCCCCACTAACCGAGATATGCCTGTAAGGATTCTACATTTGTCATTCCGAGACTTTTTGATGCAATCTAAAAGCAAATTTCGTGTGGATGAGCGAAGTAAGCACAAGGATATTGCTAAACTCTGTCTCAAAAACATGCGGACTCATCTGCAGAAAAATATCTGCAATTTAGAAGGACCTGGAACACATAGAGAGGACATTGATCCTCAACTACTCCACCAGTTCTTACCACCAGTACTTGAATATTCTTGCCATTACTGGATTTACCATATCGAACACAGCAATGTCTCGTCCCCCGAGATAGAAGATATTTTATCCTTCCTCAAGGAGCATTTCCTGCACTGGGTGGAAGCAATGAGCCTATTGGGTTTTGTATCGGAACTGGTGGGAATGCTCAACACCCTCAAGAATGTTTTATCAGTAAGATCTTAGAATTTTTATGTGTGACCCGCACTGATAGGTATAGGACGATCGCCATTCCACCACGTCCGATTTTCTTCAAGACGCACATCGCTTTGTTTTAAAATTTCGCCAGGTGGCTGATAAGGCTCCGCTTCAGATTTATTGCGCAGGACTTACTTTTACACCACTAGAGGCAACGGTCCGCAGGGAATTCCAGAAAGAGCTTCCCAGTTGGATATGCCAATTACCACGAGTTGAGGACAGGTGGAGCGCAGAATTACAGGCTCTCGAGGGCCATTCAGCTCCAGTTTGGTCGGTAGCCTTCTCACCCAATGGCCGACTGCTAGCGTCCGGCTCTTTTGATCGGACAGTATGCCTCTGGGAGACAGAAACAGGCGTGCTCCAGCAGACTCTGGAGGGCCATTTAGCTCATGTTTGGTCGGTAGCCTTTTCGCCCAATGGCCGGGTACTAGCATCAGGCTCTGATGATAGTAATGTGCGCGTTTGGGACTCAGCGACAGGCGCACTCCAGCGGACCCTTAGGGGTCATACAAAGTCAGTGCGGTCAGTGGCTTTCTCAGCTAACAACCGGCTACTGGCATCTGGCTCTGAGGATACAACAGTACACCTCTGGGACTTGGAAACAGGTGCGCTTCATCAGACCCTCAAGGGCCATTCGCAACTAGTTTGGTCAGTGAATATCTCAGCCGACAGCCTGCTGCTAGCATCTGGCTCTGAAGATAAGACAGTATGCCTCTGGGACCTAACAACAGGCAGACTCCTGCAGACACTTAAGGGCCATTTAGATGTAGTTTTCTCAGTGGCTTTCTCGCCTGACGGCCAGCTCCTAGCATCTGGCTCTGGAGATAAGACAGTGCGCCTCTGGAACCCAACAACAGGCGCGACCCAGCGAATTATCGAGGGCCATTCAGACTGGGTTCTGTCTGTGGTCTTCTCGCCTGACGGCCGACTGCTAGCGTCCGGTTCTGCTGATAAGACTGTACGGCTTTGGGACACAATGGGAGGCACGCTTCAGCAGACTCTCGGAAATGACTCAGGTTTGGTTCCATCAGTAACCTTCTCACCCAACGGCAGGCTGTTGGCATCCGCTTCTGATCAGAGCCTTTTGCGCCTCTGGGATACGACAATAGGCGCGCCGCGACAGTCTCTTGTTGGCCATTCAGAGTGGATTCAATCTATAGTTTTCTCGCCCGACGGCTGCCTGCTAGCCTCTGGCTCTAATGACATGACAGTGCGGCTTTGGGACCCTCTGACAGGCACGCTTAAGCAGACTCTTAAAGGTCATTCAGCTCCAGTTTCATTAGTCGCATTCTCACCTGATGGCATTCTACTAGCGTCCTGCTCCCCAGATCGAACAGTGTGCCTCTGGGATTTAACAAAAGGCACACTTCAGTATACTCTCAATGGCCATTCAAGTTGGGTCCGCTCAGTGAGCTTCTCGCCAGATGGCCGGCTATTAGCGTCTGGCTCTGAAGACCAAACAGTTTGCCTTTGGGACTCAGGGACAGGCTTACTCCTGCAGACTCTTAAGGGCCATTTAGATTCGGTTTTATCAGCAACCTTTTCACCTGACAGCCGGCTGCTAGCGTCCAGCTCTTGTGATCACACAGTCTGCCTTTGGGACTCGGCAACGGGCATGCTTCGGCAGACCCTCAAGGGCCATGGCAAGTTAGTGAGGTTGCTGGCTTTCTCGCCTGACGGCCAGCTGCTAGCGTCTGCCTCTGCTGATGAGACGGTGCGCATCTGGGACACAACGACAGGTGCGTTACAGCAGACTCATTTTACAACAACACTTTCTACCCTTGAATTTTCCGTTGACAGTTCATATCTGTACACCGACTTGGGTACCCTTGATCTTCAATCTAAATGCCACATTCCTGTGCCACGTGCGCCTCATGCAAATCTGAATATATCAATTGAGCATCAGGAGTGGATAAAGCTGGATAACGAAAAAGTCCTCTGGCTTCCCTCTGAGTTTCGCGCCAATTGTTTCAGATGCCACGGCAATCTACTCGCCCTGGGACACGTATCGGGACATGTTTCATTCATTAAATTTTGTACATAATATCCGCAAATGATCTTGATTGCGCTCTTTCCTCTGGCCCAGATGCGCATATCGCCCAGATTCTATCGCCTGCCTAGTTGATGGGAGCTGTGCAGCTAATTGTGGTTGCGGAAATGCTTGGCCCGCACACATGTCACTGTTTTGTGGGCTGCGGTAGCACTGGAGCGCTAAGCTTTCTTCGCCTTCCCAAGCCACGTCCCACCCAATAGTGACCATGCCTGAGACGCCTAACATGTGTCCCTCAATGCCTCAGCGTACCCTCAGCGTACCCTCAGCTCGCATTACCTGCGTAAAAGGATGGTTGTCGTCGACCCGTTTCCGCATCGGCCCACCTCTCTCTAGTCTCCGTAGAGAAGTTCTCCTATGTGAACCGGTAAGCAATTTGTGGCTGCCAAAATGGCTGGCAGGCACCCATGCCACTTTTTTTGGGTGTACAGTGTACTGTGGTAGCCCTGCGGCGCTAAAGTTCGGCTTCCGCAGCAATGTCCTCACCCAATAGTGACCTTGATCAGCCCTGAGGCTAACATCTGCGCATTGAGGGGACTGCCTCAGCGCATCCTCACTTGCACTGTTCCGTAAACGAAGGTTTTCAGCCAACCCCATTTCGAAAGGGCTTAACCCTCATTCGCAGAAGGTGCTCTCATCTACTCGGCGCACGCCGCTGCCCAAAGAGAGCCAAGAGTTTCGTTTCCTTCCCATTTTCCCGTCCGTCTTCAAACACCTAGTAGTGATCTTTTCAAATTCTTGAGACTAACTCCAGTAGATATCTACTTCTTGGAGTAATCTATGCTATACGTACATAAACCTTAACAAGGAGCATGATTAGGAAAAACGACAGGGACGTGAGTCTTTGCTTGGTAAATCACGGTCAAGTTGAGGGCCATCGTACATAGAGATGATGGTCTCATCATCGTAGAAGCATGCCGATATCAAGTCACAGTCAGGTGGATGTCAAAGGCGTGCCGTTGGAGGTGCATCTTGCTGGAAAACTGTTCACCACAAACATTACACCGTATATCAGATAGCGCTGAGATATGCCGAAGGTGTTTCCGTTTGATATGTTTTGTGACATCTCCATGGCTCGCGAATCTGTACGTCCGCTTCACAATATTCAACTCCTGTTGGCCAAGGCAGATGAAACAGAATAACGGCCTGTCGCCCTTCACCTTGGAGGTCCTATCTTTTGATAGGGGTCTCATTAGTGATCGAATCGCAGCAACCAGCTGACCGTCCGCAGAGGAGATGGACTCAGTCATCTCGGTCTTCGGTACGTTTCTATCCTCATTGGTTGGCTCCACGGTAATAGCATCCTTGGAGGAACGTTTATCGCGCGGGAGTCGGCATGTCTCGCCTTCTTCGAAGAGTGAGTAAGCTGCCACAGCGTCAATGGCTTCCGTTCTTCTATTCATCTCCTCCTCGAGAGTCGGTCGAGGCAGGGTGAGAAGGCTCTCCATCAGTCGCTTCTGTGGTGCAGGTACCACCTCCGAACATTTCAAAGGCTTCTCATTTTCAGCCAGTGTGTCTCCGGACAGCTGGTGTTGGATTTCTCGCATTGGCTGCTCCCGGTCGTACTTTGCTTGGATCTCTGAAAGGAGCTTATCTCGTGCTCGTTTTCTGGCACCTGATATCTCTTGGTTCAGTTTCTTATAAATAGTGTATCTCTTCGTTCCCTCGTGCTGTGACAGGGGCCGTCCCATCTGTCGACTAAGCTCATCGCGTCGGCGGACCAGTTCGACTATTTCCGGCTGTTGATTAACAGATGACGATTGAGCAGTAGTCAGTTCTCGGGGCCGATTGGGATCGATGGTTCGGCTCATCCGGCAAGCGGCAAGCATGAAATCGTCTTCCGGGTTAAGGCCGCGGATAATTGCAGGGAGGTTTTTGTTGATCCTCCTACTCAGATAGTAGCGCAGAAAGGTGTGAGTGTCCACGTGATGCATAATAAGGTTGCGCATTGGATCACTAACCGCACCTAGGACATCATTAGCGAGACAGATTATCCACCAGTGCAGCTTGCTTAGGGCAGCGTACCACTACTGTCCAACGCGGTACCACCTCCATAGCGCAAGCTGTAGGGACGGGTGATCTGTCGAAACCCTGTGATAGCACCGATCTTCTTGACCCATGGCTCCAGTGTCGAGTATGGAAGAGGCTGGTCAGGGGAGATGCCAATTCCTTGTAGGGTATGTTCCAACATTGGAAACACTGGAACATCATCCAGCTTTGGGTCGAGCTGTAGTCGCAGTTCGTTACATTCATCCCGAATCCGCAGTCGAGGGAGCTGGTTTGCCGAAACCAACACCTCTTCACCATCGCCCCTGTCAAACGCGCGGTCTGCGAAAAGAATGCCCAGGAGGAAAACATGCGGACTAAGGACAAGAGAAGGATCGAAGATAATTTCGGGGAGTACATACGTGTTTCTGAGATACTGGTCAGCCCGGGCACGATAAGCGAACGATGACTTACGCATCCTTGGCACCCAGCCACTCCTTCGTGAATTCGAATGTAAACTCAATGATAATGCGATGTGGTCCACCCTGAGGGTCGCGGAGCAACCTGACCTGAATGTGTCGATACCTAAGATCCAATATGGCCTGAGGACGGTTTGTGGTGAGACCGGCGAGCTGCAAGAATAGTCCAAGTTCGATACGATGGCGGCCGTGCCCGAATTTCTTCTCAGTAGTACTGATGATGGTCTCCACAACTTTCACTAAGACCTCGACATCCATGGGAGGCTTATCGCGTCCTTTGGGAGACAGCTTGTGCTTCTTAGCCAACTGTCGAATTACCTACACAGTCGGCATACGTTAGCTATATGGCCAATCAGGCACGATGGTATAGTGCCTTCGGAGTAAAGCCATGCGGTGGTAAAGGATCACTCATACTCGACGCATTTGGCGGTTCATTTGTTTCCCAATCTTGTGGGAAGTTTCATTCTCGTATACCAGTCGGAATACTTTCCAGAACGTGTCCAACGAGCTCTTGCACTTGACACCGGGAAGCCGTCTTCCATTTTTCCCGCGTCGCAGATTGAGTAGCCAGTCTAGGAAGGTAAATAAGATCGGAACTGACACACGTTCGAGTTCCTCCTGAGGGTCCTTCCGAAGGCAAGCACAGAATCTGTCGGCTTCGAAGTTATGAAACAATTCGCCTGAAAGAGTGAATCAGACTTAGATAGTGTAGCTTACTGGGACCATTTTTCCTTAACCCGGTCAAGGAGAGTGGTGGTGGTGCCTTTGGCGTAATCTTCTTGGGTGTAGATTGCCTCGTCGAAGTTTGCTAGTTGCTGGATATAGTACTCCGGTGGATGTTCGTTATCTGCGAAGAGCAAGGCCGCGTCGCTGGCATCCTGCAATTGGACGTCTTCATCCTCGGGCTCCGTAAGATCAGTGTCGTATTGATTATCTTCGGTGCTTTCTCTATCAGAAGAGTCACTGTCGTTGGATGACTGGTAGTCAGCCTTCCGAGGACGGCGAGCCATGAGATGAGGTTACTTTGAAACAAGGAATAAGAAGCCGTGGATGCTCTGGAATTAAAAGGCCGGTTGCCTTCCTAAAGAGGATCCAAGCATGGATATATCCAAAGTCCGATCGTTATTTTCAGATGACAACCGATGTGGCAGGAGAGGAAAATTGAGACTCTTGTGGAGAGAGCCACCATTTATACTGAGACCTCGGGAGGGAGCCATTTTCAGCGCCCTTGTCAAACAGCAGCGTGGTGGACAATTGCTGTAACGAAGCATAGCTGAGGGTTGGAAATCGCGACTTGAGGGCCTAGTCGCTGCGGACGAGTGAGGCCCACTGCGCATAATGCTGGTGCGTGGACACGAGGGTCTGTGTGAGTGGTGGGAAGGCTGGCAAGTTGACGGCCAAAAACAGCGTCACTTGCGGCCGTTTTTGGCGGCACATTTGCCCTCTTCTAGTTTATACGAGATATTTTGTTTAGTAATTATCTAAGTATGTTTATTATAAGCTATATATCTAACTGTTTGTACGATAAAGCTAGAGTTTAAAAAGGCTCACAGAATTACCAGCAGAGATTGGGTAGGACGGCAGTAAAGAGCAAATATAGTTAATAATATATTGGATAAAAACAAATATTAGAATCATAGCAAAGCCAGCGGCTAGGCTAGAATAGATTTTTTTTAGATATCTTGGTTGAATATATCTATTTTATAGGGTTAGAGATTGACTGTAAGATTTTCTTGTAGGAATTAATATTGGGGAAGTAATCAAGGGGATTTAAATTGGGTTTGGGATACTTTAAGAGCGAGTATATATTGGAATTTATATCTTTTGTTCTGATATGGCGATGGGATTTACGTGGGGTGATATACAATAGAGTGTACGCCTGGTTGACATTCCTAGGGCTTTTTAGCCCCTTCTAAACTGCCTTCTATCGTCGGAAGGAGGCTTGGCTTTCTCTGATCTTTCTATGCTTTATGCCTCACAGTTTGCTCAGTGGTTGGAATGTTATTATCCATAATTCTAGGGTTAGGTATCTATTAAGCATTTTGCTTATGTGCTATCCTGGAGAATTTCGATTTCTGTGACCTTTTCAACTCTAACACCAACACAGGGATTCTTAGTCCAAACACATCGATAGATAGGTGTTTTAGTGCTACTCTGGGATGTTTGGACAGGACAGAGAATACTCTTTATTTCGGACTAGTTCTGATAAACATTCTGAGCATGACCCTCTCATGGATCAGAGTCTCTTCCTACATTGCGAAGCCTTAGAGTGCTCTTAACTTTGTACCTATTCGCATTGCATCGACCGTCTACATTATACACAGGCCTTTATCTGGATGATCCCCTTTCACCCACTATATTCCGTCTTAACTGGAGTTATGATATTTATAATATCCTTGATATGAACTGTCGTTTGTTCCGAAATCTCCGTTTATCAACGTTCCCGCTACGCTATATTTACAAGTCTATAGGCTTCTCTAGCATATCCCTCTCTTAATTATCTTTGGCTACTACTCAGTACCTTTTCCGACCATGAAAGCCATGGTGATGTTCGGAATAGCAGTTGCCGGAATCATGAAGTGGAGTTTGGCCATTGATAGACCCTATAATTAAATACTTGCCATCAGAACCGACAACCTATTATCATTAGACGTGTTCATTGCGGGTATATGCCAGTCACGCACGTCCATTGTTCTATTGTAATCGTATGTTGATTTAAATAATGTTATAAAACTTGCTTTTCCATTGCGGTTGTCACCCGCAAAACCCGTAGCTGGCCGCTATGACAAAATCGAGAAGAATCCAGAATATCGCATAGGACTAATGACACTAATACACTATGCAACAGTATTTGTTCGTGCTTGAATTTGGAAGACACTGCCGATTCCCCTTGTATTATTTCCCCCAAACGACACAAATAGACTTTCAAGTGTCCTCAGCCTTAGTAATAAGGTATTCTTGATGAATTAATTCCAGGCTCTGCAGCTTACAAAGCTCACAATTATGCAACCTGATTCATAATACATATATGCATATGGTCACATAGTATTGGATACGGAATAGGTCGTCCCAAGGGTCCTCGGCACAACATCCAAACGGGAGCGAGTCGATGTCGTATACCAAACTCCCTCCACACGGATTACACTACACGGCTGAATAATTCTCTCAAATGCGATCATGTTGTCAGGGCATGAGTCAGAATATGGCTATGGCTAGTGGATCCTTATTCCAGAAAAAGGGGCATGTGAAGTCTAGATTCTCGAAGCTTGGCCAAGACGACGATGGAGCCTATCCGGAGACATTCTTAGGGCTAAAAGTCTCCGACATCCTTGTGTATAAATCTCCGCGTCAATCCACCATGCTATATAGTTCTACTACAAGGGTACATTTTGTCTTCCATTTGGATTAGAATCATCAATAGCACTTATAATCATGACTCTCTACGACGTTCTGATCGTCGGCGGCGGTCCAGCCGGCCTATCGGTAGCAACCGGTCTCGCCCGTCAACTCTACCGCGCGGTCGTCTTTGATTCGGGTGTTTATCGTAACGCCTTGTCCAACCATATGCATAACGTGGCTACCTGGGATCATAGTTCACCTGCAGAGTTCCGTCGCGAAGCTCGTCAACGTATTCTGGCTCGCTATGATACTATTCAATTTGAGGATATCGAGATTAAGAAGGTCCAGAAGACATCTGAGGGCCACTTCAAAGCATTCGATGCCCTTGACCGTGTCTGGACAGGCCGCAAACTGGTACTAGCCAATGGTGTCCGTGATATTTTCCCGGACATCGATGGATATGGAGAGTGTTGGGGGACAGGCATGTGAGTACGCCCTTCATCGCTTATTTCGATTTTAGATTCCGTGGACTAACAACTTATGTAGTTTCCACTGTCTTTTCTGCCATGGTTACGAAGAACGTGGCTGTGCTTCTGCTGGGCTCCTGGCGGTTGGCGACGTTGCTAATCCTATGGCAGCCATGCACTTTGCCCGTATGGCTAAGCGATTCGCTACTACAGTGACATTGTACACCGACGGTGCTGAGGAGCTTGCTCAGACCCTGAAGGAATCAACTCGTGGAACGGGGATTCAAGTAGACATGAGAAAGATCTCCAAGCTAGTCAAAGGACCCGGTGAATCCAATGTCCAAGTCATATTCGAGGATGGCACGCAAGTAACGGAAGGCTTTCTGGTAAGTACCTGTCTTATGCTTGTCTTATGATCTATTGCTAATCATCACTAGACCCACAAGCCCAGGACTGAGATTAATGGCCCTTTTGCTGAACAACTCGGACTGCAGCTGACACCTACCGGAGATTTTGATGCTACAGCGCCCTTCTATAGCACCTCTGCTCCTGGTGTGTTTGCTGCGGGTGACTGTGCTTCCCCTGTAAAGGTCGTCGCAACGGCTATGTCGTCGGGGGTATTGGTGGCTGGAGGACTGGTCGGGCAGTTGCAGGACGAACTGTACCCAGTGGAGCAGGAATAGATGAGCATTTAAAACATATAATGTGGCGATAATACTTTTAATTTGTTGACTTCTTGGGTTGCATCTAATATGTCTAAGCTGCCCAAATAGGCCTAGCGCAGGCCTGGTCTCTTTGTTCCCAAGGCAGCATAAATAGAATCTCAGCCCCGCTTACATAGAGAATCAATACTTCAATTTCATTGCATCTGACGATTTGTCAATTTCATATCGGGGCGCATCTGTCTCGTCCTTTGGCCTGATAAGTACATACTTCCGACCATGACGGCTTCCCACGTAATTCAGATATGGAGACAACACGGTAAGGATTATATCTCATCTAAGATCCGGTCTCTAAAGCTGAATGTAAGCAGTCTTACTGGGTGAGTATACATGGCGAGTTTTGCGAACATCATATCGGGAAAGCCACCAGTGGCAATCCGTGGACTGTGTGCTTACCGCCGTCCATGGCGTGTGTCCTTTCGGAGCTAGCCTCACAAGAAGCCCCAACGACCTACGTGTTGTCGTTGTTCACCAAGGGAAGCCGACGCTGCTTGAGGCGAAATCCTTTGGCGCGGCAGAAGCTTACGAATTCTTCTTGCAGATTCTCTTGGCGCCAGTGGCCCAAGATCAAGAGCGGCTAATCAGATTAATCATCCCGCTGGCAAAGGGATACATAGTCAGGTCGGATATTATCCCTATACGCCTTCACGATTGTGTATTTGTTGGACATATCAAATCGTTTGCAAAACCACTGCAACGCTACGAAAATGAAGCCACCCCTATTGTAAAGGACGACGTTTCCTTGCCAGCGATATTTGCTGCGGCCGCAGCCTGCATACTTATGCGTCCGGTACCTCAGGTTGATCTAGAAACTGTATCTTTGGAGTTGGACGAAGAGCTTGATAATCGACTCTCATTCCCATGGATCATCACAGAGACAGCCCGTCAGAGGACTCTCGTGCTGGTTGACGCGAACAGCTCACATCCGGAAGATGGACTTGGCCTTTACACCGCTGCCACGGCGTTAGGAATCAGTTTGGTTGTCTTGGATAGTGCCGGACACTGGCTCGGAAGCCCCGAGTACGCCCACGTATGCGAGGCTTTCATTCCGACGCGATTGACCAACCCTCCAGAGGAGGATATGAAAGACCACATCCTCGCATCTATACGGGCCTATGGTAAGCCTGTAGACGGTATCGTCACCTTTGCAGACACCTATTGGCCTCAAGTCGCCGAGGCCGCCAAGGTCATAGGTCTGCCAACCGCATCCCCAGAGGGATTCAGGATTGCCACAAACAAGTATCTTACAAGCAAATTCGCCGGTCATCATGCCTATCGTGCGTCGAGCCTCGATCAGGCTATCACGGTAGCCCAGGAGCACGACCTGCCTTATCCTTTAATCATTAAACCCTGTGGGGGGTGGAGCTCTGAAGGCGTGTACCGTGTCGATACGCGTAGCGCACTCGATGAGGCAGTACGCGCGATCATCGCCTCCCGCCACGGGCCCGAGTTCGTCATTGAGCCCTATTGTGACGGACCCGAGGTCGATGTCAACCTTGTGCTACAGGACGGAGAGCTACTATTCTTCGAGGTATGCGATGATTTACCAAAGTCAGCCGATATCAATGGACCAAGCGTTGGTTCTTTGACCAACTTCCATGAGCTGTGCAGTGTTTATCCCTCAAGCCTACCGGAGGCAGAGATTGAGTTATTGCGTGAAACCTTTCTGGCCATGTTGCTGTCGCTTGGCCTACGGAACGGGGTGATGCACCTGGAAGGACGAATAGAGAACTCCATGGTCGAGTATATGACTGAGGATGGGGTTATGGTGCTCTCCCCACGGAGCAGCGACAGTGATCGTACACCAAAGGCATGGCTGATCGAGATCAATCCTCGCCCTCTAGGAATGACAGGCTCCCAGATCATCGAATCCACCTACGGAATCGACTACTGGGGCTTAGCATTACTCTCGGCCGTGGGTGATACGACTCGTGTTCGTGCCCTTGCCCGCCCATTCCTCAAGGGACCGCAATATACCAGTGTTATGGTTTTCATCCCGGCCGACTTTCCCTCCTCGTGTCAAGGTATCTTTGATTCAGACGACATCTGCGCGGACCTCATTTCACGAAGACCTGATCTTGAAGCATTCATCAGTAGATGCGGTTGTCTTGTCAAACGAGGACAACGTGTTCCCCATCCAAGCACCGGTCGGAACACATTCCTCGCTTACTTCAATGTCTATTCAAGGAGCAGTCGTGAAGAAGCATTGAATATTGCCAAACAGGTTCGAGAGGCAGTTAGATATATTTTTATTTGAATCACAAAGCAACCATCAAAAGAGTTCTTCCCTTAGAGCCAGGAAAAGCCAGGAAGATTACGCACACAGTAATTTGGAGAGAATATAGGTGGGTAGGAAAGGTTATCATTGTATTTGATAAGTCCTTAACTTGATTGGCATAATCCGCCAGCCAGGTTTCAGTGCATTTTGGATTGGAGCAGTTGCAAGCGGGTTAGGCCCAGACTAAAGAGAAGGCCGGTCTTGTCCTGATGTTCATGTCTTACTCTGGACTAGCTGTTTACGAAGACTTATAGATACTGCAGGGTCGTGACTATATATTTGTAAAAAGTCTTAAATATATCTTGGTAACAGGCGTTCGGTGATCTATACACCTCCCTTCAATTGAGGACCATTTATGATATCGGCCTCGGCTCACTAGACCTTAGGCAACCTGCAAGGTATCTCGACCGTGTTGTCCAGGCCCCATAATAAATCGGATGTCAGGATCTAGTAAGTTGACCTGATCCGAAAACATGGAAGAAAACAAGGATAGCTGAAGCCAATTCACAATAACTTGGTACTTCACATATAACAAGCAGTATTGAGTTTCCGCTTGCAAAAATGGCTGAAACTAGAATATACGATTAGGAGTTTACGTGCCCATGAAATGAGGAAAGTAAGCAGAATAATTCGCAGGATTGCAATAAGAATAATAGTCTGGGACTGACGTCGAAATAAGGATGGATGGAAACTTTAGGGGAGCCCTAAACCGGCTTTATAGAGAAAAATGTGATCATTTTATATATTAGTCCCTTTCCTAGATAGATCGCTATTAATTACCATATATATAAAACCAGCCGAGTACAGCTTCGACAGGGCTCCACTCGATACAAGCTACATCCCTGAGAACGGCTTCTCATTCTTAAAAGATGTACTAATAGGTAGGAGTAGCGAGTTACAAGATAGCAATTGTTTCAACCCACGTGACATGGGTTTGCTATGAACGATAGCCTCATCAAGCTTATGCCGCCCATGCTCGATCAGGAAAGCTATGTGATAGACAGCTTCGATACGCATTGCGAGATCGATGATCGAAAGCCTCACTGGAAATCTGTTCTTCCCCTCGTCCACGCTAGCTCGATATGCTCGTGCTGTCCTTGGTTCTTGTTTAGCCAATGAACGAAGGTGCCAGGATGGAGCCAGCATTTGGGATGCTGCGATGCCACCCTGCTGAATATTCAATACGAGTCAGAAGGTAATCGAGATGGCGAACTGCGGCTACTTAAGGGTGAAATGCAGGCTTTTCTCCAATACAACGCTCCATCACGGGCGACGTTGTGGGAGAATAGTGGAGCGTTATTGGATGTGTAAGAAGGTAGGATTGATAACATTCATATGGTAAGTTCAGTCCCTAGCGTATAAACAGTACTACAGTAGTCCAATGATGACGCGTGCAATAACTCTAATGTCTCAGATAGATATACATATTTGGTTTCCGGCCAATTCCGTCGGAAATAATTCGGCAGTGGAGACGGGACTACCGTACTCGAAAGGCGAAACAGAGGTGCTAAGAGAGCCTTCCGGGCTCCATACTACGCCTTGTTTCGGGCAGCAAGAGCGCCGTCTGTTAGACAATGGCACCCTGTTGCCGAGTGGGTACCACCAACACAGGAGAGTCTGGATCTCTCGAGCTAGCCACTCATCCAGCATCTAATTAGATTGGCACCACCAGCTCAAGTATACTGATGGAGCTAATGAAGGGCCCGGTGAGTGCACGGACGAAGATTGAGAGGGAGGTCAATATTGGCGACAACCCTATGATCCACAAACTAGCGGTTCCTTGAAAAAAAAAAGAAAAAAGAAAAAAGGCGTTTTCACGCCCACAGCCATATATCTCGGTGAGAAACTCAGTCGTCATGTACCTAGATACTTCCAAAGCACTTGCAGAAGATGATTGCGATGCACAGGCTTTCCCAAATAGTCGTTCATACCTTTGGCGAGATAGGTTTCAGCGTCGCCTTTCAAAGCATTGCCAGTGAGCGCAATGATAGGCACGTCAATCTTCATACTCCGGATCTGAGATGTCGCCTCGAGGCCATCTAGAACTGGCATGCTGATATCCATAAGTACTACGTTGTAAGATAGTGGCGTTTGTTTCACTAGCCTAACAGCCTCTGCCCCATCCCAGGCAGCATCAATCCGCTCGAACCCGAAGCTCTGCAGGAGCTTCAGCATTACCATGTGATTCACCAAATTATCCTCCACGAGCAAGATATGTTTGCGGGGCGCGACCTCTTTCAACTTTTTGATAAGATCTTCCGAGCTGTCAGTAGGGGTCATGCCGGAACGCTTGATTGGCACTCGCGTATCCGTCCGCCCCATTTTAGCTGTGAACCAGAATACACTACCAGGACCGTCCGGATTTGGTCGGTAGCCTACACTCCCGTTCATGAGTTCTGCTAGGCTTTTGCAAATGGAAAGGCCGAGCCCGGTGCCTTGGTATTTCCGCCTCGTAGAATCCGCAAACCGTGTAAATGGCGTGAACAAGGTGTTGATAGCACTTCCAGGTACACCCACTCCTGAATCGACTACCTCGGTCGAGATGTTGTACATTGTTGGATCCTGAGCGTCTATGGCGAATGATGTGGATATTTGGACATGCCCCTTCTCCGTAAATTTCACCGCATTGCCGATAAGATTCTGGAGTACTTGGCGATATCGTAGAGGATCTCCACGCACAGCTGGAGGAAAATTCGGCGGCATGGAACAACTGAGGGTGACGCCTGGTTTTAGGGAAGATTTGCAATTTCGCACAACTGCGCCCACGACGCTGTCAACCTCCACAATATCCGATGTCAGGGAGAATGACCCTGAGGATAGCTTCGAGTAATCCAGGATATCGTTGATGATCTGTAGCAATACTGACGTAGAATCCTCGATAATAGATGCATATTCACGCTGGTTGTTATCGAGCTCGGTGTCTGTCAGCATAGACAACGCAAGGCGCATGCCGTTCATTGGCGTACGTATCTCATGACTCATGTTAGCCAAAAAGTCAGTCTTGAGTCTTGATGATTCTTCGAAAGCGGCGATCAGACGCCCCTCAGCCGCCTTCCGTTCGGTCAAGTCACGGGTCACTTTCACGAATCCGACATGACGGCCGAACTCGTAAACAGGGGTGATCATTACATTGGCCCAGAATCGAGAACCATCTTGGCGGTAGCGCCAGCCTTCATCTTCCATCCTTCCATCACGCAAGCATACTGCCAGGCCCCTCCCTGGCTTATTGTTGCGCCGATCTTCGGGACTGTAAAACACGGAAAAGTGCTTGCCGATGATCTCGGAAGCGGAGTAGCCCTTCATGATAGCAGCACCCGGATTCCAAGTTGTAATGTTGCCACAGGTGTCCAGCATGAAGATGGCATAGTCTTTGACGGTATCAACCAGGATCTTGTACGTTTCATTCACATATGCATGGTGATGATCTTGGGTATCAGAGCGATCCCTAGTGTCCTTATGTGCCTCGAAAACTATATATAATAAAGTCCGGTCGTGATATATTGGCGTAACCTGAAGTCGAAAGTACGAATTCTTATCACTGAGATGAATATCATCGATCAACTGAATTTCTTTCGTTGAGATAGCCGCTCGTATCGCGCCATATAAGGATGGAATATCTGGCACAGGGACGATGGAAGGGGCAATATCACATATGCAAGTACTGAGCAATGTATCCCTGGTCTGGCCCGAGAGGGCGAGGTGACTGTCGGACACTTCCACTATGGATAGGTTCGCGTCGACGACGACGGTCGGTATTGGGGTGTAGCGATAGATGCGACACAGCGAGGCATCCAGCTGTGGGGTGACAAGTTTGGCGTCTGAGGCGCAGATGTCATTCGTCCGTAACGATGGCTTCGGATCGCCTTTGAGTTCGCTTAACACCATATCATTGTCTTCTGGTGGCGTCGTGATCAGCGGCAGGTTCACGGTTTGGGCGCGATCGTGCATGCTAAGATTGAGAAACCGATCTCTGAGCGACATCCCTGCTTTCCAAGAGAAGCGTGGCGGTATAAGACTGGACGAGTAAAAAAAAGACCCTTTGTACCGAAGGGAGGAGAGAAAGGCTAGTACGCGGTTTTGGGTTGATTCACCCGATCCGACACGATCTGGGCTACGTTGTGACCTCGTGAAACCCGTTCATACCAGTAAAATTCACCCAAGAAAGCTGAAAGCCAGATCAAGATGGAAAAGCAAAGCGATCAGGATCTGAAACCTCATGTTGGCTATGGAACAGAGAGAAATCTTCCTCATTAGGGGAGTGCCGAGTTAAGGCAAAAGGCCAAACCACCGACGTCAACGGAAGGCGATCGACCATGCGCTTTCGTCCACTAGTGGACGGCCGACCAGCCCGGACTTGCGGGGCAAAAGACCACACACCCAGTCACGTTGCTTCTGCTTGCATGCCAAAACCACCAATGTTTGCATGCCCTCCAACCTTAGTCCAACCGATTCTTGATTTCCTTCAGAACCGCGGATCCACCCCAGAGAATGAAAATGGGTACAAATCAAGGAATGGAACCACTTCTTCTCCCTCCCTGGTACAGGTTCTAGAATCCCACCGGCCTATTAGTCAAGGAGATGATTCAGCCATGCTCACTTTCAAATGCCGTCAACCAAAAGGGTACAAAAAAAAAAAAAAAAAAAAAAAACGGGTACACATGGACTAGTTCAGTTCTTGTCGTTGCTGAGTCCTGACTCAGTAGATCCCGTTGTAGCAGGTGTTATATATAAAAAAGGTATTTTTAGACCCTCCTGAAACCCTCATTGGTCACCCCGGAATTGACTATTCCTCCTTGATTTGATAGCATCCTCGATAGTACTAGCTGTCTGGTGCCGATCGTCTTCATTCTACTTCGTGGCATTGACTAGTAGGAATCCTTTTCCTTCGGTATGGACTTTCCAGGTATACTATTGTAATCGAGCCTCGACGTCATAGATTCGATAGTTAGAGATTCATTAACTGTGGGATCCACCCATGTAAAGCCTCATCAATAATAGTTTCATGCCTCCAAGTTTCATGATAGGACGAAAAGAAAGAAGGTTATTTTGAAACAAGTATCAGAGACGCTGGACTACCCCTTCCGGAAAGGATAGACAGATTCAAAAGAACTAGTGACTAATGTAAGTTCAGGGCCACAAATCAATTGTGTTTCCATGGTTCTTCTAGAAGTACTCCGTACGTTACCCCGTCAAAGGGGAAGTTAGGCAGGGCCCTACCGTCACTAAATAGAAGGATGGGTATCCACTAAGTTACTAAACCTGAGAGGCCTTATCTCGCGGAGGCCCCGTTTACCCGACAACCTGAGGCCGATGTCTCCATGTGGTCGTATGATAGAAGACATAGTGACAGGGAAACCGAAAATGACAGTCAAAATGAATAAATGAGCGAAGATAGACGTATAAAATAATAATAATAATAATAATAACGCTCATTGCATATAATTAATGTCATTGTGTATCATCAGCTCCCCGTAAAATCAACTAACTACTTGCAATTATACTACTGGTATCATCATACTGTCGCTAATGAGCAAAAATGCAAACAACGTAACATCCAGTCCAGTTTGAAACAGCGCCCGTCCCCCCGTCCCCCTGTGCAGATGTATCAGCTGACTCAATAAAAGATATCATTGAGCCGCTCTAAAGAATCACATTCTCCCGCTCGGCCGTTTCCACCATCTTTGCCAAAGCATCGGCCACGCCGTATGAGAAGGCGTATCCACCTCCACCGAATCCATACGCGGATAGAACAATGCGATTTCCCACTTTTTCGGATTCAAGGCGGAAACCGCCTTTCCTGGACGGGCGGATGCCAATGATGTGATCGAGTGCATCTTCAGGGGGATATTCCGGAACTATCTCGGGAGCGAGACGATGGGCGCGTGCAATCTCATCTCGGGCTATGTCAATATCCACTTCGGGAGACCTATTCATCAGTCAGTTTTTGAACGAAAACCTTGTACCATGGGCTAATGAACAAACTTACAAGTTGTCGCTTTGCTTTACTCCACCAAGCACAACACCTTTCGACAATGGCCGAGGAATGACATAAGTATATTCCTTGCCGTTCCGGAAGTACATGGTCTGACAATTGTCGGTGCGCAAAAATACGTTCTGTCCTCGTTCAGGGAAACACTTCTCGTCCTGGACATCACTCAACGTCTTGCTCCCGATACCACTTGCATTGATGAAGATGCTTGATTCGGGAAACATTGTGTACAGCTCCTGAAGAGATTCGACCCGTTTCCGAATGAACTGACCCCCGAGCGCCTTGATTTGTTTTCCCAGGTAAGGCATGTGGCGCGTTGGGTCGGTGACGAGGGTATCGTATGCCCACCCACAAGAGAAATTAGGGGGGTATTCACCGGGTTGTAGGTCACGAAACTATCTCCACAGTCAGCAATGTAACGTCCCCGTGAAATGACAATAGTTGCCTCACCTTCGATACGACAGTCTTCCCCCAGATCGCAGAGTTTTCAGCTGGGGGGTCTTCCAGATACTCGCGTGTGTCCACAATACACACCCCTGATTCAGGGTCTTCCTGTGCCATCTTTAGCAGATGGCGATGGGTGATTGCTTGAAAGTATCGATATTCAGGGCTAATGCCCCCAGCCGCATGCCATGCTGCTCCCGCCCAGGCAGACGCATAGAAGATACTCTGGTCTCCGGGGAGATACTCCGCCACCAAGACTACGGGGAATCCATTGAGAAGAAGTTGTCTTGCAGCGGCACATCCAATAATCCCGGCACCCAAGATGATGATGGGGCGTTGTGCGAACGGCACGGAGGAGATATCGACAGGGTGGCCAAGATCCCCCATGTTGTCGTTGAAGGGATTCGATGTGTACCGGCGGATTTGCCTTCCTTGTCGTACAATTGCACAGACTACCTACACCGGAGTCTTCAGAGTGTTAAGACTTGTGGTGGATGAAGTTGATGGGAATCTTAAGAGGCAAATTTGAAGGACAGAGATGACGACATATAAAACGTGTGGTAACTGGATGTGAAGCCCTCAGGAGACCAAGATATTCATTGTTCTTATCATTCTACGAGCGCCGCCACCTTTCTCTTATAAGCAACCGATGGAACAGCCATTTCTTAGCGATGATCGGTTTGCGTGTCGTTCTCGAATGGTTTGCTGGAGTCGGATAGAAGCGCTCAGATCCGATGGTCGGCTGTACCCGCTGGGAGCGAGGAGGGTGAACCACAAACAACAACGTCTACACCAGATGTAGAAGTTTTGCGCACATTAATCGCCAATAATATCCATATGATATTGTGTCCCAAGAGAAAAAAGGGTTTACAAGGGACTCGTCATCTTGCTGCTTTATCAAAGCTCACAGGCTGATTTCTATCGTGGCATGACTGTAGGCGGTTCGTCCCGACGCACTATGGAACCTTCGGCGAATATTCGATGAGGGAAAGACGGACTGAACCGCCCAACCATACCCAAGGCGGTCGACGAGGGTTTTCCGTCGATTCCTTCGATGCACATGTATTCTGACTTACATTTCGCATCGTCAACTAAACTCGATGCAGAAACCAAGACCGATGTGAGGGAATTTATAAACAATCAACTACATTCGACACCTCTAGAAATTACCACGAAAAAAAAAAAAAAAAGAAAGAAAGAAAGCCAGAAAGAAAGAAAAAACAAATGGATCCTATCTACATATTTCCTTTTGTGTCTTTACCTCCGTAGTATTTATTCTGTAACACAGTAGTATCCAGGTCAAGTATCCACTCGGGTAGTCGGTGATGGCGAGGCCAGGGGGGGTTTCCGATCTGTATCATCGTATTGAGCGTTACCGGAAACATTGGTATCGATCGCTGGTCCTCACGGCTCAGAGCGAGAGTTAATTACTCAACATGGAAGTCGAAAATTAAAAAGGAAAAAAGGAATAATAAAATTTAATAAAAGAATCCCGTGGGCTCGCCTGTCACGAGTGACACTAAACTACATCGAGGATCATGTCCACTCCACCTTCATTCAACCCCCTGTTAGACAAGATCCAGGACCTTCATTGACTGGACCCAGAGCGAACAGCCTACTTTAAATCTGCTTACCACCATAATACGTACTTTCGTATTATAGCTGACATGCCGGAGCGGGACGAAAAGCCCCAGCAGAAGGAGTTCTTACAGGTGGGTTAGACTGACCTAGCTCGCCCAGTGACCATCCTTCGCTTTCCACGTGGCACACACCGCATGCCCTGCGGATGGGGCCAATCACTTCATTAATACTCCTATCGTTAGTTCTTTATCTAATGATCGTCGCTAGGAACCGTCTTTCGATATCGATGATAGCAACTACAGTATTCTCAGCGACCGCGATGCCGCCAAGGTCCTCCCTTATGAAGCCGACGATTCTCCCTTCCCTGAGGTTCGTGCGGTCGTTAGGCCGGTAGACGATGTACATCTGCCAGTCAACACGGTTCGGATGTGGACGATTGGGGTGATATTTACGATTGTACGTCAGTGGCGGAGAAGTTGTGTCGCGGAGCGTGTAACACTGACTGGCCTTAGGTCGGGAGTGGATTGAATCAGTTCTTCAGTCTGAGGCAGCCCAGTGTAACCATCAGCGCTTTGGTAGCACAGCTAGTCGCGTTTCCCGTTGGCTGTGCTTGGGCAAAATGGCTGCCATTGGGGTGGCTGAATCCGGATCGTCATTTCAACATCAAGGAGCATGCTTTGATCACGATCATGGCCAATGTCTCCTTCGGATCGGCGGCTGCGACACAGATAATTGAGGCCATGGTGAAGTTCTATAACATGCCTTCGCAAGGGGGATTCGAGATCCTATTATGTATCACCACACAACTGTTCGGGTTCGGCTTGGCAGGCATGGCTTCCCGCTGGCTCGTGGGACCAGCGACAATGATATGGCCGCAGGTTTTGTCGAATGCTGCGCTACTGTCCACCTTACACTCGCGCGCCAACGTTGTCGCGGATGGGTGGTCGATAACCCGTCTCCGCTTCTTCCTCTTTGTTTTCGCTGGCGGCGCAATGTGGTACTTTGCTCCGGGATACCTCTTCACCGGTCTTAGCACATTTAACTTTATCTGCTGGATCGTACCGACGAACGTCATTGTCAACCAGCTCTTTGGCCAGACGACAGGGCTGGGCATGTCAATACTAACCTTTGATTGGGCTCAGGTCGTCTATGCGAATCAAAGCCCGCTACTGGTCCCTTTTTGGGCAGGA